ATTACTGGGTACCCTATAGTGTAACCCCTCCCTGTGACGTATGTCTCTACCTGTAATTGGTGGGCTGGCATGCCCCCAAAAGGTATATAGGCATGGGTCAGCAATATAGAGCCCTCGGGCTCGGACTTCTCTCTCAGACTCTGACCTCCCTGACTCTTCCCCCTCTCCCTTGTTCCCTTTCCCTCCTTCCCTTCCCCCTCTCTCCACGTGGACCACCAAGCTGGGCTGAGGTGAGCAATGTTGCCATGTAACGTGTCTGACTGTACTGTATTATTGTATTATCTCTCATGCTTTCGATGACTCTAATATAATACTTATATATCTCAACCGTACAATTGTGCATTACTGAATCCGAGTAGTAGTAATAGGAGTATTAGCGGTGGGGGCTGGTCCCCCACCTCCCTCGGCGCCAATTTTTTAATTTAATACTACAAGATGGGGCAGCAAAAAGAGGACAGGCCTCAAGAACAGACTGACCCAGTGGCTGCAGCAACGGGTTTCGCTCAGGCGTAGGAACAGTTGCGAGGCCATTCAGCCACTGCGTGCACTGGCCAGAAAGCACTAAGAAACTCTTGCCTGATCCTTCGAAGGGAACAGATCGCACTGAAGCTCACTGTCCTGAGTCAATTTCAACACACGGCGACCCCATGGGGCGGGGCAGAACCACCCCACGTGGCTTCCCGAAGCTGCGACTCTTCATGGGAGTAGAAAACCTCGTCTTTCTCCTGCAGAGCGGCTGGTTTTGAACTGCTGACCTTGCAGCTAACAGCCCAACAAGTAGGCCAGTCTTCCTCCAGGGCTCTTACGAAGATGTAAATGCTAAACTGCGTTTTTAATCCAGGGACTTTGGGCAGCACACCACTGGGGTTTCTAACAAGGTTGGCCACGAGGTGGCAGCAGATGCATACCCTTAGAAAGGCAAGCGCTTTTCTCACAGTGAGCTGGCTCCTTCCGCTCCAGAGAAAGATGAGGCTGTGTGCTCCTGTTGAAACCCCCCACATATAGGGCCCCCATGAGTCCGAATCGCCTCGAAGGCAGTGAGTTATGATGATTCCAAACTAAAAGCTGTGTCTGGCTGACAGATGATGACACACTACAGATTTCAAATGGTTTTCACTCTACATTTAATGCTGCGTGCCCTCTGACTCATAGCGACGCCCTCGTGACAGAGCAGAATTTCCCCCCTTGGATTCCAATCTGCTGCGTGTCAATCACCGCTCTTTCAGCTGACAGGTAAGCGCTGACTCGCTGCACCACCATGCACCACCAGGGCTCCTTCAACACGCAATGACACAGCTTACATATGCTCTACAGGCATGCTGACTGTCAATGGATTAAGTAGAAAATAGCATATGGAAGGATACTACACTCAAGACTGACTGATATAGAAATAGCAAAACTGATTTTAACCCATGAAGGTTGGAATTCTTGTGTCTTAAAAGATGCACCATTGGGACAGCAGACACCCTGGTGGGTGGTGAGGTGGCCCCTGTGGCGGGGAAGGCAGGTAAGTGGTAGATTTCTTCTCAGAGCAGCTGGTCCTGGCTCAGAGAGGGAGATGCAATGAAAGACTTGGATATCACGCATGCGGTGCCTCACCTGTCCAACTACTGCAACTGCCCCCTGGCGGCCACCTGGACCAAGTGCGGTCCCTCTCCATGGTCTGGACCAACCACCCCTCTCGGATTACAGTTGCAACAAAGACAGTTCACAGTCACCAAGCCCGATGCTGGCTCAGCGCGACCCCACAGGACAAGGTATAAAGTGACCAAGGTGAGTTTCTGAGACTATAACTCTTGGCGGGAGAAGAAAGCCCCATCTTCCTTTCTCCCAGCAAGACAAGGCCATGGGAAAGTCTGGCTGACCCCAAGTCTCTCCCCAGACAGCTGTTACTGCCAAGCACAAAGGGAGGTGGGGCAGTGGAATGAAATGGACGCTATTAGAGGGGCTTTTCAAACATCCTTAGTCTCCCAGGAAGAGGCCCTAGTGGTGCAGTAGATTAAATGCTGAGAGAAACCCAGTTCGAACCCACGAATCAGCAGTCTGCCTCAGTAGAGATTTACAGTTTTGGAGACCCTGCGTTCTCAAGGGAATCAACTTGGCAGCAGTGGTTTGGGCTTTATACACCCGGAATAAAATGTCGTAAAAGCCTGCACGGACATCGTAGGTACTGACAAGTTGTGCATTCTGGGACGAGCTCACCAAGATTCTGACAGCCCTGGTTTCTGTGTCAACGTCAACCGTTTTAGTAAACCTGCCTACCTTTTCCCTCACGAAGAAAGGTTATATTTTTGCAAGCTTCCCTCTGAAAGTTAGACACTGCGCTGCAAGGACTCTCCAGGTACAATGTGCACGCTGGATCAAGCCATCATTCTCTTTTCTCTTTGGAACATTTTCTTTCAAAGCACATGAGCAGCTTGATGTGCTACAGAAGAATCTTGAGGCAATTTAAAAACATGTGCAATTTAAAAACATGATGGATATTCTGGGGCAAATTTGCCAAATTAGACACAAATGTGCACGTGTACTAACTCCAATTTCCATACAGTGATCATGAGTGGGAGGGGCACTCTCTAGGGGAGTGTTTGCTATAGTAAGCACCCATCTATACTTACAAAGCCGTCCGGGAAGGTAAGGGAAAATGCGTTTGCCACCCCCACGGCTGGTTGCGTCTCGCCCGCTCCCCACCACGCATGGTTAAAGGGCCCCGCATGTTTCCTGTGCCAACTGCCGCACAGGGGCGCCGGGTGGACGCTGTCAGAGGAGGATGGGAACACTGCTCCCCGCGCAGCCTTGACGGTTATTAGTCCGCCCCATTCCCGAGATGCTCATGTTCAGCTCTCAAAATAAGTGCAAGAACCGTCACCCAGCGAGCTGTCATCCTTTGGGGGCTGACGAGAACCCCACAGAACGCTCTGTACACATTCCCACGCAAAAACAACCCGCTAACATCACAAAGACGTGCCTTTATTCACATATTCTGTTGGGAGGGATGTAGGGAACGTTTGAAACCTCCACCCGGAGGGGACAGCTCTGGGGAAATAGTGTTTTGAAAGTGACAACCGGGTGGACCTGCCCAACTCCCTCTCCCCCAGAACCTAGCACGCAGTGTGAAAACCCAACCCGCCCACCCCCACGGACCCTCAACTCACACCCTCCTCATGGCTGCCCTGCCCCTACCGTCTCTGAGGCGCCCACCTTTCCCAGAACAGACAGTCTCAATGTTCTCCAGCCACGCTCCCATTTTCACCCAGAAAGCAGCGGGTGGGGTTCGAACCGAGGGCCCTGCAGCCTGCAGTTGAGCAGGTCATCGTTTCTGTCACCAGGGCTCCTTTCTCACTGCCATGGAGTCAATCCCCACCCCTGGTGCCCCTACCAGGCAAGGCAGAGTTACTGGTGGTTTCAAACCGCTGACCTTGGCAGTAGCAGGCCAACGTGTAACTCGGTCTGCCATCAGGGCTCCTGAGACTCTAACTCTCTCCAAGAGCTGAAAGCCCTGTCTCTTTCACGCAGAGAGCCTGGAGCCTGGTGGTTTCGAACTGCTGACTTTGTGGTTGAGGCTTCCTCTATTCACTGCCATCAAGTCGATGCTGACTCGGAGCGACCCTACAGGGCAGTAGAAAGTCTCCTCCTTCCTCCCTCGGAGCAGCTGGTGGTTTCGAACTGCTGACCTTGTGGTTAATAGCCCAACAAGTAACCACTGCACCACCAGGGCTCCTTCAGCACATAGTAAACCAAACATGAGCCCACTGCTACTGCGGTCAAGCCGATGCTGACTCGGAGCGACCCTACAGGGCAGAGGGGAACTGCTCTCAGAGGGCTCTGCGCTGTCAATCTTCATAGGGTGTCACGTGTCTCCAGAGGGTCAGCCGGTGAGTTCGAACCACTGACCCCACAGATGTAGGTGATAACCCAACACCTAACCCAAAGACCACCAGAACTCCATCTAGTTCATAGTCTGGGATCAGTAAATGTATTTTGAAGGAATGGCATGGAAAATGCCATCTCCAGGGATTTCAGCAATTTAGGGCAAGAGAGAAAAATTGCTACGGATACTTTTTTACAGCAGCACAACCAGCAAGTGGCCACTGGCCTTGCTGAGCACTTCAGGGGTAAGGACAAACACCAGTTCAGAGGTAGAATTCCCGCTACCGTGTGGGAGGACTGGGGTTCAGTTCCTGGTCAATGCTCCCCACATGCCTTCCCACCCCTCATCTGTCCATGGAGGCTGGTGTGTTGATGACTATGGTCGTTGAAGGATAGTATGTCGACTGGACACTCTCAGCTAGGGGTGGAGTCAAACCGGTCAATCAAGTGGTAGCTTGATGACACCTTTGGGGGTGCGACCTTTTGTATCAGAGTGAGGGACTCTGGGAATTGCCTCACTCTATGCCCCTCTGCCTTCCTGCCTGCTAGAACTCTGGCTGCCTTGAGGGGTGGCCACGTATGGGCTGCCCAACCCTGAGAGCTGTCTGTACCCTGCCATGTTCCCACCAACTTTGGATCCACAAGACTGCGCCCACCGGCCTGAGATCTTCCTGCTTCCTGGTTCCACCATTCTGTGTCACCGGCACGTGCCTCCGTGAGTCTGAAGAGGGACTAATGGCCTAGCATCAGACTACGGACGTGAGTTGGACTGGGTTGGGAACCCTTCTTGATACAGGATTATCTCTTACACAGGGATGAGCATCACTGGATATGTTTCCTTAGTCAACCCGGGAGAACACAGATGCTGAATAGGTATCGCCGGAGCTGCCAGAGGACGACTGACTAGGAAGGGCCTGGTGACCCCATTCCAAAGCCAGACAATGAAAACCCCGTAGACCAAGAGTTTTTCACCATGTCGTGATTAGCTAGCTGACCACCACCACCAGCCACCTGGGCACATGGAATTCTCCAGATGAGGATCAGGGGGTATTGCCCTGACAATGCCCTCCCACCCCCCCCTCTGCCCATCCGTCACCAATGGAGCACGGCCTGGCCCCTGCCCATGTCCTCACCTCCTCCTTCTTTTCTGCTGGCCCAATGGTCCCACTGAGGCTCAACTGGGAGTAGCTGCTGATGCCGCTGTCTTCAGCACCTTCATCACCACAGGGGGTCTGCTGCCCTTCTTGGGGGGGCCCCGAAGCCCGCTCCTTCTGAGCAGAACCCTCAGGCCTCTCTTCGCTCTCCACAGAACTCAGGGACAGGGCGCTGTGGTGACTCGGGCCACCCAAAGTCACGCTGCCCACGCCTGGGCTCTGGGGCTTGGGGCTGGTGGGCCGCAGAGGAGTGGAGAGCTGCTCAGACCCCAGTGCTAACTGGCCCGGAGGCGGTGGGTCAGCAGCCTCCCTGGTGGGTACTTCCTGGGTGGCCGGGCTTGGTGAGGGGCGGCCAGGGTGAGCCCCGGCACTTTCTGACGCCTGAGAACTTTTGGCTTCCAGCGGGCACACGGCGGTGTCCACGTCGATGTGGGGACCCTGAGAGGTGGCCGGACTGTGGGCAGGGCCCACCGGGAAGGGCGCGCCCTGCCGTCTGTCCGGCTCGGTGCAGGTTGACACCCGGCGAGAGTAGTCGTCGTGCAGCCTGCTATGGCGCTGCAGCCTGTGGCCAGGGTCGCTGGGTGCAGGGGGCCCGTTCTTGGGGCTGTCCCTGTCCCTCTTCCACGTGGCATCGGCCACGTTGCTGACCAGTTTCAAGACCCGGTCGAAGTCCTTGGCCCTGAGGGGGCTCTTCCAGCGCTTGGTCCTCCTGTCCGAGCCGAACTTCTCCGAGTCTGCGGACGAGCTGCTCAGCGTCCTCTGGGGTGCCAGCTTCTCGGGGCCCACTCTGAGGTCGGCCAGGTTGGACGTGGACTTCCGCTTGAAGGAGCTCTTCTTGAGGAAGTTCAGGTTGTCCGTGCTCCTGCTGCGCCGGTAGGCCAGGCGGTTGTCTGCAGGCTCCTGGACGCTGACCTCGCAGCAGGCCGGCGGCGGCGACGGCGGGGGTGGCCGGGCCTGGCGCTCGCCGCCGTCCCAAAGGC